CCAGGCAGGCAGAGAAGGCAAGGATCCATCCTCAGAGGCTGCCAGGAGCAAAACTTCCTACTTCTGCACACATGAGATCATTTTCTAAACAGGAAGAATTTAAGTCACCTTGTTGTCCTCAGTTTATACCTGCAGTCGTCGGCAGCAGGATTCGAAAGGGGACACGTTTTTTTTCCTGCATAGACAGTGAGATTCCCATAAAATCCGAACAAAATTACAAGGTTAAAGGGATGGAGTTGAGCAAGGGATTATGCAGTATTATGCAAATGAAGGGGCTAATATGATTATTGTGTTCCCACACTGCAGGCTGATGAGATTAATTTTGGTGTAAAATGGTGAAGAAGCTTAATTCTCTATTATGTAAATGCATGTGTGTGTGTCAGTTAACTTATGACCTGTGTCTGGACCTGTGGCCTCTTAATAGAACATCTTCTTCTCTAAATAGTGACACACACACTTTGCTCACATCAGGATGGACTGAGGAACACATTCATGCAGTGTTTAAAGTTACAAACCTGTATTCTCTGAGAGGGCTTTAAAAAAAACAAAAAAACTACAATGCAACAGTCTACCTGTTATTGAGACACCAACAAAGTTTATGATGAAATTTTGAAACTGGCAAAATGTATTTAAAAAATGCCTTGCAGTTATGAATGAAGAACTTCTGTCTCTCTTCAGTCTACCTCTCCTTCTCAATTGTTAGTGGGGCATCTGTGAAAAGTGCTGTCTTTAAGGCTCAGTGGTTTTCTAAAGATACTTGACCTTGTGAATAAGGTGTGACCAGCTCTACTTCCGGAAGTTGCTACTGGAATCTTCACAACATAGTGACTACTTGTGATGCTCATGGCTCAAGCTATTGGCTGGTTGACAAGTTAACATGCCAACACTGCCAAGTTGTCTTTGTTTAGCTCAACGGCTAAGCGGACGACATGATGCAATAACATAGTTATTTTGCACTGTCTAACTCCATTTTTGGTTGAACAGAGATACTTAAAACTGGATGGTGCGGCACATGTGTGTGGCTTTCATTTTGCACTCATTTTACCTTCAGTTAATTTAAGAGCATTTTTAAGGCAACGCACAAATTTACATTTACTGACATTCCACTTCATGCCAAAGCTGCTCATAGAGTCCACCTGTTAACTATACCCACAAGAAAAACGCAGGGGACTGGAGTCTATTCCAGCCGACATAGAGTATGAGACAGAGTACAGCCTGAACAGATCTTCAGTCTGCTGCAGGCTAACACAAAGAGACAAACAACCATGCATGCTCACATTCACATCGACAGCCAATTTAGAACCAAGTTGTCATGCATGCCTTTGGACTGTAGGAGAAAATCGGAGCACCCACAAAATACCGAGTACACGCGATGCAAACTTCACGTAGAAGCTGACCAGCAGATTCAACCCTAGAACCTGTGAGGCAACAGTGGTAACCACTGTTCCTCCCCAGTTCATTATAATTGCTGTTGTGATCAGTTCCCTAAAAAGATTCTGTCCATGCAAGAACTAACACTTGGCTCAGAGTGACATCACTGTCCTCCAGATTACATTGACTTTGAAGAGCAGGAGGGGCCATCCGGACCCCCCTCACTCCCCCGGGGCCATCCAGAATCACAGCCATGTCTGGTGGAAGTGGGCGTCAAGGATCTCACAGCCAGGCTGTTGCGCCTCCATCTGGGCCCCTGAATTAAACATCAGCTAGGCAGACGGGCGTCCTGCCTCAGAGCTTGAGGGACTAGAAACAGAGGCCAATTAACCCATGCCTGGTCTTTTCAGACCTTACATTGTAGCCAATTAAGAGGGTATGTCAAAAAATGATGAACCGTCTGGGTTTGATTTGACATCAGGCACACTGGGTACCGTTTGCATAAAATCACAGGGACTGGAAGGGAATACTTTGTCTTTGGCAGTGATTGCAGTCACCATAACCGAGTAAACACATTACAAATGCCCGGGATAATCATGAACAATAACTGGGTCTACTTTTGTTGCTTCTGTTTCCCTCAAGCTTCTAAGTGCACCAGCAACATTCCTTCCAGTAATATGACATTAAAACGTTTCTTTTGTTGAACCACCAAAGACTAAACTCCCCAAATCTTGCCTTTATTTATGTCACATTATGTCACTATGTCATCAGACACTAGTTTGTTGTCACTGCAGCACAGTTCCTCTGAAACCGTCTCACATTAGGAAATACTTCTGCAGATGAGACAGAGTCAGGAAACACAGTGAATGAGAAGAGCAGAAGTGAAAAGAATCAGGACAGCGTTCTTTCTTCTACCGGTGTAACAGATGGAGACGATCACAGATGTGGTCCAGTCACAAGCTTGCAGTCCAACCGAGTTCCATATTGAAAATCTCGTCGCTCAAACAGTCTCTTTTTTTATTTTTTATTGTCCTTTCAAGAAAAATAATCACAGCCGTTATGTCTGGTGCTAATGATTTAAATTAAAGAAGCTCTGAAGTGTAAGCAGTAATTCAGTTAGATAGCGACTGGGAAAAACAATTGCAGACAGAGTTTGATTTAGATTTCATGGACTAGTGCCATGACTTCCCCAAATAATATGTCCAGGATTTATCTTTGTACAGTGCAGTCTGTAAGTATTAGGACAGTGATGTGTTTTTCATTGCCTTGGCTCAACTCCAGCACGCTGAATTTGAAATAAAACATATGCTGCAAGGTCAAGGTGCTGACTTTCAGCTTAAAGGGTGTTTGGGAGTGTTCACACTGATACCGGATGGGCAGTGTAGTCCTTTTTTACCTTTTGGGGAAGGAAATTGGGGCATATATAAAAATGTCTACAATTTCTACACGTTTTATTGATGGTGAGCCAGACAGAAGTCTCAGCCAAGACATTTTCACACAGTTATGTTTGATCACTGATTTTTTTTATTTTTATTTTATTTTTTTTGCTGGTGGTGCTGAAACAAATGCAGTGGGTGCTAAAACTAATAATATAGAAAGCTGAGTCATAAAACTCTTTCGGCTGACAACCTTTGCTGCATTTCTGTCAGAGTTTTTGTTGCCAAGTGCTGTATTACAGGCATTGATCAAAAAGAAGGGGGAAGAGTTTAAAATAGGAACCTTCTTTGCTTCATGTCAGCTGTGATATAAAACACAAGGGTGCCATATGTCTGCTGCTTATATATATATATATATACCTGAGTCTGCAAACCTGCTGCTCTCAACTCAGCATACAAACACACACATATATACATGCACATACACATGCACGTACATTTATACATGCTCCTATTTGTAAGCTGGGCCAGCAGGGCAAATTCTTAGAGCCATAATCTTTACAACATTTCTAACTAAGAATTCATTGCATTCAGCACTCAGTACGCCTCCCCGTCGAATAGCTAACATTTTACATCAATCTATTGCCTCGGGGTAGGAAAAAGTGTAATGACGGTGAAACTAAAAGAAACAGGTGTTCTTCTTGCTATGGGTGCACTTTGAAGGTTCTGAGAGTTACAGAAAGATTGTGAATCACTGCTAATTGCATGAAATTATAGTTGTGGGGTGCAAAATGAACTCATCCCAGTGGTGCTCGAGCCTACACTGTTGTAGCAGTACGTTGCAGGGTTGTCAATGGCATGAATTATGGAACGACATGGGTATTTCTGGATGTTAACTGAACAATGACTCTGGTTTACTGGAAATGCTGCAGGGGATTTACAGAACAACCGCTCGATTATGGTGATTGGAGTACATCTCTGAAGCAAATTGTTTATTTAATAACATGACAGAAATGCAAAGTCATTTTTAGATTTACCAAATTAAAAACTTGAGGAAAGTGAACTTTAACTGTTTGCCGCTTGGAGATTTGCTCGATCAAAACCACTAAGCCAAAGTAAAAAAGAAAAATTGCATGGAGCTTAAAAGTAAAACATTGTGTACAAGAGCTAATCTTTCAGGAAAAGATTTATTGGAATAATTAAATTAAATTTTAATTGACAGTGTAGGAACCATCTCTAATTACAAAACACACAAAGTCTATAGTTGAGCTGCTCTGCTGAAGCCACCAAAACAAAAGCACTTGCAGCAGATATTTACATGAAGCTGTGGCCTCTCATTATTCAGCTGCTTTATCAGAAAAGGCAGCCATGACTAAACCAATTTAGAGTAGACAAATAAAAGTCATCTGTATTCTCTGACAGGCAAAAAACCAATAACTAGGATAAATAATGTACAAGCCAGAAGGGAAATATCTGACTGGTGATAAATCTTGGAACTTCTTTCATATTATTTCAGTAACTTAATATACTGTGTATATTAAGTTTCTGAAATATTAGACTGAGCATTGCTGTTTTCTTTGCAGAACACACATCAAGGCGCTTGGAAACCGACTGGGTTTTTCATGTCGTGTTTTCTGAATCCATGTTGATTCAAAGTATGTGTGACATCTGATTTTCACTTCATCAGTTTTACACAAGTTTAGCTTTCAAGTAAGCACAAACTTAGATCATATGAGTTTTACATATCAAAAACAGATTTTTTTTTTTTCTGTGTCCGTACTGTAATTCTACTATGCTGCTTGTTTGTAGAAATATCATCTGTTTAATTTGGTATATATTTTCACGTGATATAGATGGATTCCTCTTTAGTCGCACTTCCTGAATTTCTTCTATTTTTAAAGTGTTTTTTGGGGCATGTGTTTCTTATAACTGGGTATACAGATTATGAAGCCCCTTGATGCATATTTGTGATTTGTGTTAATGGGCGACTGTATGTAAATAAAATAGACAAGAACTAGCTTTTAACTAGCCGTTAAACAGATTTCCTGTGGTTTTAGTGGTTGCGTCAGTGATATCTTTCACACAATTGTTTCAACACAAGGTCAAGCTTGGAAAAAAAATTACTTAGTTTAGTCAGGTGATCGGAAAATGTTAGTTCCTACTTGACTTTAAAAATGCTTTTTAGATGTATTTTGAGAACTGAAAGTAGACTTGACTCATAGCTTCCCTCCTACAGAAGCTTCACTTCTCTTGGAGTGCTGGATGTTTGTTATCTATGTGCCAGTTGTGTTCTGGATGGCAAACGGAACAACTCATCTTGACCGGACTGCGTCTTCATCTAGACTTGGACATAACACTTTTTGACAAAAGTTAGCGAGGATACTTTTGACTCTTTACAAGCTATGCTTCTTCATACTATGGCGCGTTTTACTGCCTCAGTTGGTGTTATCATTCTGTTGGGATTCATTGACATTTCAGCAGCAAACAAGGACGCCTGTGAACTCTACGCTGCTGTCGGGCAGAGTCTGACTCTGCCTTTTGTCTATGAAGGACTGGCAAACTCACATGTGCTGAAATGGACTCATAACAACACACTGATCTTCTACAGAGACCAAGGCAAAGTGTCAGTTGGAAAACCACAAGACATCACTGCAACCGGATCTCTTCTGCTGAAAAACCTTGCATTCTCAAGTGCAGGGACTTACCAAACACAGGTGCTGCTGAATGGCACTTTGGTTAAAACATGGACCAATCGCCTTTGTGTGATGGACAAAGTATCAAAACCTGAGCTCAGTTATGTCTGTGACTTCAAGTCTAGCGCTGTTAAACTTAATTGCTACGTAGCCAAACCTCAGGGTTTGGTCTACTCATGGACACTTGATGGAAAGACATTAACAAGCGAAACAATGCAAACACTGAGCATCTCTCTGACCCAGCTGAAAGGAGAGAGGAGCTTCACGTGCAGTGTAGCAAACAAAGCCAGCAAGGAGAGTAGTGAAGTTGTTCGTCCAACCTGTAAAAGTCCACCACCACCACCAGCATCTCTGCTTTGCTTTCCGCAAAAAACTGTTGTGGCAGTGTTAGCAGGAGGAGCAGCTCTGATTTTTCTTTTGCTCATCATCACCATGGTCTTGTGCTGCCGTCACAGGCGCAACAAAACCCACATGAGACGCAGGGATAAAGAGGAACTAAGGATGCTCTCTGTAAACAAACGAGACCCTGACTCCACCGGTCCAGTGTATGAAACTATGCACCCGAATGAGAACTCTCCGCCCCCGAGCCCACAGCCTTCACCAAAAGCCTGTTACCAGAAAGTGTCTCAGCCTGAAGTTCAGAGTGAAAACAGACTTGCACAGCTCTCCACCACTGCCGAAGGACAGAAACCTTCGCCGGTGCCAAAGCCGAGGACGAAGAACCCCCAGACAGCAAACATGTGAACTTGCCGTCCTCGCTTTCTCTCCCAGGAACTTTGAGGAAAGACAACAAAAAGTACTTAGGTTGATAGCATACAAACGACATGATTAAAACAAACTATGTTGCTATGTACATAGTTAATTAGCTACAGTCTTAATCGACATATTCTTTATTACTGTAATAGTTTGGAGGGAAATTAAATACATGTGATGATTTGTTCCTGCAGGCAGGTGGGAGGTGAAACTTGAGGCAGAAAAATCTTTATTCTCCTTAAGATTATGTTGCTGTTATCTGTGTTGTTTTGCTGTTAATGTTTAAAACTCAGCCATTCTAAGTCCTTGTTAAGAGTTGGTGGGGAGTGTGGAGGAGGTTTTGTATTTTACTTGCAGACATTATGATACAAAAAAACTGTGCCAGATGTATTGCTCATTACTGATGTGTGTATGTGTTTTATCATGAATTTACATCTGAATTCTTCAGAGCTGATGTACTTATATGATGTATGAAGTAATTCAATACAAATACAGATGTTTGTGTAAAATGCTGATATAATAGATTACAGAATAAGGCCGGCATATCTTTCTCATGGTCTACCAATCCTAGGAAAAGGAATTCATCCAAGTCATTTCTCATAAACTAAGAAACACAGAGATGTACTGCAAACATATATGTAAAATAAAATGTACCTATTTGTTTATAGGTTAAAGCAGCTTACAAAACACCCTGACGCATTAGAAGTTTATACTTTCATGTGTTAGCTTCGGAATAATACACATTTGGTAGTTAAGAAAATGTACAATTAGTAGTTACAACAGTGGTGTTATATCAGGGTTTGGATTCACAAGGTACAGCTGCTCATTCATCAGAAGTACAACACTGCCAAACCTGTCGTTTGTTTTTGTAAATATTAATTGGTATGGTATGAGAAATATTGTATGTTGAAATAAAAATGGACAGAAATGTGAAAAAATAAAGGCATTTGACCTTTTCTATCACAGACAGCTATTCACCATTTGACCTACTTTTGTAAGCATTTTACTGAATGAGGACTATTTTTAGCTCCACTGATATTTTTTTCATACACGTCACACAATAATCTTTTGAGATAACATTTGAGTTTTCTCTAATGTAATCACACTGTATGTTTACATATGTTTGAAATAAATAAAGCTGTCAAAAAGGATCCAGTGTCTCATATTTTCATGGAAAACTACAATAAGCAGCTTATCTGTGTCAAACACAGCCCTTTGTTCCGGCTTCTTACTTGTCAGCATTCTTGCACTTATTAAAATTTGCTTGCTTGCAAGAAGTTATTAAAGGAGGGGGAAAAAATCAATAGAGAAATGGATTAGCTAAGGCAAATATCTATTATCTCCAATGGGTAAATGGTAATCCACACATGAAAGTGTTTGCTGTCTCGCCTAATGCTGTGTGACAGCCACATAATGGAATCCCCCTGAGCGTCATCGCCTAAAACTTACAAGCCAATGTCATCTTTTGTCAGGTCCTGCTCCACTCCTGCTCTCTTTACATGGCTGAAATTTTCAGTCCAGCCGGCAGGGATTTGGCAGTAAAGCTGGTATCTGCTGCTGGAACAATGCCCTCTTTTTTTTTTTTTCCGTCTCCGTGTCAGTGTTTCTCAAGAAAGACTTGACTGGCAACCTGCCATGTCACTTCCCCTCACCAGCTAAAACTATGTACCATTTACACAGATGGAGAAATAAAGCAATACACATCCACATACATAGACATATTGCAGTCTCGCTTACAGTACACAAACCCACACTGGACCGTATTTTCATGACGCAACTTAATGAAACACATCTGATATGCTGATGCCAGATCTACCCTGGAACTGGAAGGGAAATACTTCTGAAAAGTGTTTAATCAGTGGTTTTTAGAGTCAAGAGGATACACCCTTTTGATCTTGGAGTGTGTGTGTGTCCAGGGAAAGGGTCAATTGCCCATGGAAAGTATTTATACTCATGTCAAATCATTCTTATTAAAGTTCTTTTGTTGTTATGGGCTGCCAAGTCTGGGGCGAGTACAAATCAGAAAATCAGAAGTCAGCTAGTGTAGGGGCTTTTTCAGGAGATTTGTCTGAAAATACAGAGATGATTATGACCTATTAACATTCCTGAGCAAACAGTGCTTTTTTTTTTTTGAAAGTTGAAAGCATACAATCCAGAAAGTTAGCTCAAGCCACACACTTCCAAACACTCACTAGTTTTATTGATCAATTACTCTTGAAAAGTCGAATAGGGAGGTAATGACTCTGAATAAAATGTTGTTTGCAGCAACTTGCCTTTAAAAGGGAAAATATGAGCAAAAGGCTTAGGTTGTGTTCTTGCTGAACACATAAAAATATTGCATTAAAATGGTGTGAACTCCTTTTTCTAAATGTCTCATTAAGCATTAAACTCGCGGTATCTGTCAACACACCAGGTTTATTGAATTGCTCTCCTCCATCTGTACACCTCGCACTGTTTTTCACACCGTACGTGCAGTTTGTGGAGCGGCTCTGCGCAGTCTGTGGGTGTCTGAAACACAATTATATAAATTTGCTTAGGAATCAGGCTGCACTGATTTTTAATAGACATGGGATGCTTTGTAAACTTCAGCAAGATTAGCACCTCATAGACACTGGATGTCTGGAGTCAAAGCAAAATGCTGTGTGCAAATTTTTCTAACATCAAATTGGCTCTAATGTTATTTACTAAAAGATTAAGTCTTTGAAGAAGAATTTGCCTATTCATCTGTTCACAAATTCAGCCACTTTAGGCAACAACTTTTCACCGGGTTGTGTGGGCCCAAGGTCAATAGCTAGACTCTTCTGTGGTTCCCCGGTGGTGGAACGAGTTATCAAACTCTGTTCAATCTGCTGACTCCCTCTCAGTCTTTAAAAAAAGACTAAAGACCCACTCTTCACTGAACACCTTTGCACTTGACAGACTGAAAACAAACAAACAAACAAAAAATCCTATTACCTCCCACACAGCCTGCTATTGGCATCAACGCCCTGTCACACTTGAACTTGTTCTATGGCACTTATCTAGATTGTTTTCTCCTGACTAGATCCTTGCGGGTGTTGTATTGGCTCTCAGATGTCCGTTGCTTTGGTTAAAAGCGTCTGTTAAATGAAATTGTAGAACTGTTGTGTGAAGTCCTTGCTAAATTCTGGTATGTGCTATTTAGTTTCAGAGCAGTGACTTTCTTCAGGTTGAAACCTTAAAATTATGGAATGTTTTACCAATGAAGACTTCAGTAATGTGTAAATAAGACTGATATGTTTTTGGAGGCCAATAAACTTAACCTTAACTTTGTGATTACATAAGAGCAACACGTTTTAAATTAGTCCTGCTGTATCTTCACTTATCACCTAACATAACAGAACTGGATGGCATGGTGGGGAAGTGGTTAGCAATGTTGCTTTACAGCTCAAAGGTCATGGGTTCGAATCTAGATCTGAACCTGGGATTTTTCTATGTGGAGTTTGCATGTTCTCTCTATGCAGTGTGGGTTCTGTCCAGGTGCTCCAGTTTCCTTCCACAGTCCACAAGTATGTTGAGGTTAATTGGTGATTCTAAAGTGTCTGTAGGTGTGAATGTGAGTGTGCTTGATTGTCTGTCTCACGATGTAGATATGTGATAGACTGGTTTCCTTTCCAGGGTGTCCCCTGCCTTCACCCTAAGTCAGCTGTGATAGACTCCAGCCCCCATGCGACCCTACAAAGGATAAAACAGTGTATAGATAATGGATGGATTATGGTATAACTAGTCTACAGTTGAAGATATGAACTGCTGGTGCAGCCATGATATGTTTCAAGTATTCATTGGATCTTATTCTCATGCTCATACCATACAACAATCAGAGACACCACGAAAACAGCCTTCCTAATCGTGCATTGATTCTTCTTGTGACGTGGAAGTAACTCTAAATCGGACAGGCATGGACACAGAACCTCTAGAGGTTTCTTGTGGTATCGGGCACCAGGTTGTTTCACAGGGGCTTGTTCCAGTGCATCCCATAAATGCTCAATTGGATTGTTTGGAGGCTAGGTAAACACCTTGGGCTCTTGGTTGTGTTCCTTAAGTTCTTCCTCAGCAGTTTTGGTGTTGTGGTGCGTTATCCTGCTGGGGAAGTGCCAATACTATTGGAGGGCATGCCGGTCTATTAATGTTTACATGTAAAAACAACATCGACATATTTTAGGACCCCAGGTCTCTGAGAAGAGCGTTGTACCTGTAAGTGGTTTTGATTTTGAAGCTGATTGGTCAATGACTGATGATTAATGAATAATATGGAAAAACCAAAATACAGCTAAGCAAGAGTTAGAGTGTTTCTATGATCCCTGAAGAATTAGAATACTTTGTCAAGTTATCTGCAAAATATAAAAAAAAAAAAAAAAAAATCAATTATTAATTGAGAAAACTAACATGTAAACACCACCTCCACTACAATGTTCAATAGAAAAAGCATCAATCTTGTACTTAGTGCTATGTTAGTGTGAAGCATAAACTTCAGCACTGAGTCTGTGGAAATTCTTTATGTAGACATCACATGAATGTTGGTTTAGCTGATGCCAGATGCTCAGCAGACTACTGGCAAGCTAGTGTTCTAGGAATCCTTAGTCCAAATCAGCCCAAGTGAGCTGAAAGTATGATGATAGCTATACTGAGCTTGAATTGATTGACTGCAGTGTGTGTTCTGTCTTTGATTAGCAAATGAAGCCAGCAGAGCTAACGTGCGATCTGCCCTCGCAAACATCAACACCATTAGCGAAAACATGGTGGTTAACTTTGCAATAGCCTCAAAAAAGTTACAACTCCATCCTGGATGATTTTTCTTCCCATGAGCAACCTGGATATGAATGTGGGGAAAGAAGTAGCTACTTTTCTCCTCGCAGCACTGAGTCAGCAGCACTTCAGCTCATACTTTGAACACTGGTGCTTGGTGCTGGTTGTGTGGTCCTTTAGGCTCAGCTGCAACAGTTTCAAGTGACGTTACTGGTAAAACGAAAGAGCAGTTTTGAGCCAATCTGCCACAGGACCTAAACTAAACTTACTTGTGAGGCCTTGAACATTTTTGTTCCCTTTTCCTATGACCTACCAGGGTGAATCATCATTCTGCACACTAGCAAAACTAAAGACTAAGCACAGTTTGTATGTGGAAAATGACATGAGGGTCTGTCAACTATAATGCCAAGAATAAGAACCCACATCTTATTAAAATGTCTGGTTTAACACGGAAACACAAGCACAGACAAATTCTAATATTTACCTAAGACTTATTTAGTTATTTATTTTTATAGTTTTCTTCATGGATGAATCAATAATTTTTAACAAGACGCAAGAAGAAAAATGACAGCGGGTGATCGTCTTAAAAGCTTTGATCAGTTTTGTGGATTAATGTTTGTGTTTTTCCATTAAGTTCAGTATGTCTAAAACAACAACTGATCAAAATTGAGTGTATGAGTATACTTCTGTTTGGTGGTCTCTGCTTTTTGAGGTGCAAATTCATAATTATGACCCTAAAACTGACTTTGCTGAAGCCTATTAGGGAATTCCTGGTTGACCCTCAAATTTGACATCTGCAGTGGTTCAAAACTTGTGTATAAATCACTTTGATGCCATATCAGAGTTCTAGGAAATGAGAGGTCACATATGACGGAGAGATGGACAGAATCAGTGTTCAGACCATATCGACTGCGAGTAGAGCAAATATTCCCACAATTTCATTCTAATGCCTCAGCAGCTGCTATGAGCCAAAGAGGCTGGCGTGTGAAAAGAGAAAAGGCTGGGAAAACAACAGCCCTTTGTCAGACGCAGACCTAGAAAGGAGCACTGCTGCCATTTGTAGCCAGGGAAGGAATGTGACAGCACCAAGGTCTGCAGACATGACACAAAACATCCCTGCTCTCTGTGGATATTTTAAAAATAGTTCACTGTGCCACTGGAGCTGTAGCTTTAATACAGCGTAGTGTATTCAGTAGTGAACAATTCTATCACTTTTAATTTTAAAAAACATATTTAAAGATGCCATACAGATCTGCCTGGAATACTGAGGGCTAGGTGAGGATGTAGACAGTCACATGTAGAAAACAACACAAGTGTTGCACTCTTTTCACCTGCCATGAAGACGCTTCATCAGAAAGTGCTAATGCGGTAACACAGATGTGATCCC